GCAGGCTCAGGGGATTCAAATAACCAGCCAAGGTCTGCGGCTGCTAAGCCCGCCCAGGCTCTCTCAACCACGGTGCTGGCTGCTACATGGAGGCTTTCTGGTTGAAATGTGCATGGGATGCCCAGAACCCCCCCCCTTGTAATCCCTCCCCACCCCATCTGCTGCCAGAGGTGCTGTCCCAGAACCTTTGGGCTCCAAGGACTTCAGTTTGAAAACCACTGACTTTGGCTGATAATCAAATACTTAGATATCCTCAAGCACCCAAGATGAGAAGGGAGAAAGATTAGATAAGGTTTGATTGCTTTTTTTGTTTGTTTTTTTGCTTGTGTGTTTTTGAAGCTGAAGTCCTGGAAATCATGGAGTCCATACTCCTCCCACCCCACCCATTGTACCTACAGGAAAGCTCAAACCTGCAGAGGGCTGAAAGCAGAGGGGAGGCCCAAACCCTGTCCTCCAACAGCCAGCCCAGATCCCTCCCATATAACCATGATAGACCAAAGCCAGCGGCCTGAGACTGTAAATGTCACTACAAATGAAGCCACGAAGCCACCAGCTCACCTGGATGACTGTGTCTGGACAACGTCCCACACCTTCCAGTGTCTTGGGCACAGCCCAGCCCTAGTGTCCTGGAGCCCTGGCCAGGCAGGGCTCTGAGCCCAGAGAAAGGCAGGGTCTCAAGAGAGGAGAACCCACAAGGCAAGCCAGTGGCAGGGAGAAGGGGGCTGCAGAGAGCGGGGACCAGGCCCCAGAGAGCAGAGGGAGAAGAGAGAGGAGGGGGGAGGGGTCAGGGTGGGTGTATGGAAGTAGCTCGGGCATTGGGCATGGGGGGGGACAGAGGGCAGGCCTAGGTTGGGGGCTGGAGGGGATGCTTAGCACTGAACCAGCAAGCCTTGATGGGGAGGGAGTACCTCTGAGCCTCAAAGAGGAGAGGAATGGTTATCCATCCTTCATAGGCTTTGTGGGTTGGACTGGGGTGTATTTTGGGTGAAGGGCCCGTTCCAGCCAGCCCACACTCGGGAAAGATGAGGTCACCCCCCAGGCTCAGCTCTATTCTTTCCTTGTACCCCCTGCTCATCAGTCCTCCAGCTCCAGAGAACCCCAGAAACCTCCTTCAGACCTGCCGCTTTCCTTGTGCCCCCTCCAACCCAAAGCCATCTGCATCTCCCACCAGTTTTCAAGCCTCCCCCCTCCCCCACCTACTCCCACCCCCAATCCTGGTGAGGAGGTGGGCACCAAGCCCAGGTCTCTGGGTCTGGGGATGGTCCTGCTGCAGGAGTGACTGCGTCTGCCCAGAGCACCATCAGCAGAGCTGGGTCTCGCCTCAGCCCCGAAAGCTCTGCCCCTTGGCGGACACACTGCCGGAGCAGGCCCTGTAGGCTCCCGGGGGCCTTACCTTCACACCATCATTCTTCTTGTTTCCCCCACTCTTCCCTCCTACAGAGGAGAGAAAGTAGAGGGTTACCAACACCAGGCAGGGCACCAGGGCCCACAGGGCCAGGAAGAGCAGCATCCACAGGCAGCCGCGGGGCAGGGAGCCGGCTCAGCAATCTGGGGAGGCCTCCTCCTCTCCGCCCTCCTCTGGCCCGCACTGCCAGTGGCCCCCCACGTGGGCCTGGGCTCCCACAGTTCTCGGTGATCTCAAGTGTGACGCCCCAGCCCCATGGGTTGAGGTTGAGGAAGGTATCCAGTGTGTCCCAGGACCGTGAGTTACTGTTAGAGCCTGGGGATTCCCTCTGGATCCCGGTCACCACCCGTGCTGGTGGTGGCCAACCCGGAGGCCCGGCTGCCCGGCTGGGGCAGGATGCTCCCTCCCCAACCCTCCCGCTCTAATTTTAGCCCCATGCTGCTGCAGAGGTCAGGTGTCAGCCCTGCCTACTCACTCTGGACAGCTGCAAGCCGTGTTTTGCCAGTGACAAGAAGCAGATGCCCCCTGTGGGGCCCACCCCTGCCAGAGCACCCATCCTGGCAAAGGCCTCACCACCCTCAAACTCCAGAGCTCCAAGCTGGGGTTGGCTGTGTCCCTGGCAGCTGGGAAATGCAGAGCAACAGATCTCAGGGAAGCTCCACCTCTGTCATTCCTCTTTTCCTCCCCCCTCCCCTCCTGGCCAGAGCCCATGGAGAGGGCAGGCATCAGCCAGGAAGTGGCATGAGTGCCCAGCCCTGCCCAACCTGGCATCCGGCTGCTCAGACCTCAAGCAAATGCCTTAAGCTAAATGAGATAGGGAATCTACAAAGTGCTTACTTAGCACAACATTTGACCTCTATGCAGTAGATGCTCAGTAAGTGGTAGCCGCTTGTCTTTCTCCTGGTGTCCTGGAGAGAGTGAGCTGGAGACGAGGGGTGGTACAGGATGTCATAGCCCCAGGGGCTTTGAAGGATGGGGCTCAGGGTCTGTCCAGCTTCCCAGTCACCCTCACATTTCCAATGACCCCTACCAGGCTCTTGTCCAGTTTCCCTCTTGTAAAGCAAGTGGGGACCTCTGGATCCAAAGCCAAAAGGAATGACTGTCCCTCCCCCACAGGCTTTAAGAGTTGAAGTAGGCTGTACAGTGGGGTGAGAGTGTTTCCGCCTCCAGCCTCAAGGGGGGCCTCTCAGCTCTAGCCCACTATTGTAAGACTGTGGGTCCCGTGAGGCCATATATTCTGATTTTCAAGAGAAGACAGAGATCTAGGCTTTTCCAGGAAATCTCCTGATGTTTAAGTGCTAGAAACTC